GAATATGGGCAGAAGTCATAGCAGAAAACTTGCCAAATATGGGGAAACAGTCTGACATTCAAGCAACTGAAGCTTTTAGAATTACAAATAACTCCAACCCAATTAAAAACACACCCAGACGTGTAATTGTCAAAATCCCAGAAATCCAGCACAAGAACAATATGCTAAAAGCTGATAGAGAAATGAAACAGATCACACTTAAAGGAAAACCCATCCGAATAATGGCAGACTTCTCTTCACAAAACATGAAGTTAAGAAGAACATGGAGCAGAGTACTTCAAGTCTTCTATGAAAACAAATTCCAGCCCAGACTATCATGCCCTGCAAAACTCTCAAGTTTGATGGAAAAGTGAAACACTTCCATGACAAAGAACAGCTAAAGAATTTCATGATGACAAAGTCAATGTTACACAGAGTACTAAAAGATATTCTAGAGAGAAACCAAAATGACCAGAACTCCACAAATGAGAATGGGAAAAATTCAAAATAAGGCAAACAATCAAACACAGGAGAAAAAGGAGTAAAAAACAGCAAGTAAAAATAACATATCGATTGTAAATCAGTACATCTCAATTACAACCATCAATAAAGAAGGCCACTACATACTGGTTAGGGGAAAAATTCAAGAGGAAGCAGTAACACTCATAAATGTATACGCACCAAACACGGAAGCACCCAACTATATAAGACAAATATTAATGGACATTAAAAGTCCAATATCCAATACCACAATCTTAACAGGAGACCTAACACACCCTTATCGCAAAAAGATAGTTCAAGTAGACAAAAAATTAGTAAAGAAGTAGCAGAACTCAACCAGAACTTGGAACATATACAGAATGTTCCACCCAACGGCAGCTGAATATACATTTTTTTCAGCTGCACATGGGTCATTTTCTAAAATAGACCACATACTGCTCCATAGGTCATGCATAAAACAATACCAAGAATGAATGAATCAAAAAGCTGGTTCTTTGAATGAAAAGGGTGAAAATATCACAGACCCAGTGGAAATTCAGGAGATCATGAATAGCTACTTTGAGACTCTTTACTCTCACAGAAGACACAAAAGAAACGGGCAGATTCCTAGAAAGTTACAAAACACCAAAACTGAATGAAGAAGATATAAGAGGGGCTGGGAGATGGCTCAGTAGAATAAGCGTTTGCCTGGCAGGCACAAGGGCCTGAGTTCAATCCCCGGTTCCACCAAA